TAATTCATATTTATTTTTAATTTTGTAGTTTAATATTTCAATTTGTACATAATAATTTATTTTGTATATAATTTTAATGAAATGAATGTATTTTTGCGATTCCCATGACACTAGTGTAGTGCAACAGTATAAATTACCAATGCAACAGTTGCCTTATATATCAATGTGTTAGAAATAGTAATACTTGATTAATAAATCAGCAGCTATCATATGCATACATATATTGAAGTGATAATTATATATTGGTAATAATAACAACGTATATAAATTTGCCTAAACACTATACAAATGAAATGTTATCTACTAACCGTGTTGACAATTACCGTGACTAAATGAGTTGTTTCCCTTTGATAACGTGTTTTTTTTTAATACTTTTGAAATCTTAGGTATAAGTTGACATTCTTTCATTTCAAGTTATTTCATAATTAAAATATAAAACTGAGGGATATTTTATACTGGCATCTCTTTTACAAAAAATGAATCAATATACTTTCAAAGGTAACTATATATGTATATCACTATTAACATATACATTTATCCTTGCATCTATGTCACTATACAAGTAGTTTTAGGGAACATCATTTTTGTTACATGTGTGACATCCTTTCTTAAGATAAAAATTAGTCTTTGGAAAATAACAAATAACAAAGAAAGAAAAATGATTTTTTACAAGATATAAAATAGAGTTGTTCCTCTAATAATAATTCATAAAAAGAAAATATAAGTGTAGTAAAAGTTGGCTGTTCAAACTTTTTGAGTGATTTCAGTTGTTATTATTATTGCAGGATATTCCATTCTCACCAACCTATGTATCACAGGAAAGGTGAATCCAAATTATAGATATAGTCTTGACCACAAGTGATTCTTTTCTTCTTATTTTTTTAATGCTGGGATGCTTTCAACTTTTCTTTTGTTAAGAAAAAAAATCATACCAGCTTGACTATAGACCATTTCATTCTTTTTTTTTCAATGATTTTCCTTGTCATCAGTTCAAAACTAGGTATCTATGCTGATTACAGAACTATTTACTCCTGTCTTAATAGTAAGTCTAATTGGTTCAATAAGGTCAAATTAGTAGTTGATCTTGAAAATGACCTTCTCACCTGTTCTTAAATGGAGTAAAGAATGCCTTGTTAATTTTAACACCTCCAGAATGAAACTGCTCTCTCTTTTAATCATCTGAGAGGATCCTTTTTGCCTTCTATCATTATAGCTGATGCTAACCTCCAGGAGAGTGACACATTGCGGCTTCTCAGGCTAATGTTTGCCACTGATATGAAATGGAAAGATTATATTGAATCAGTTGCTAGGTCTGCTACTAGGAAAGTAGCATCAAGTGTGTTGTGCAAGATAATTTTTCTTGCTAGAATCTATTATACACATTTATAATTCTACCTCTATGATACCTATATTTTATAAATGCAGCACTAGATTGGCAGCAAGTTCTCATCATTTTACAGTTGAAATGGCTAGTTTGTAACTGTAAATTCTATGCTCATAAATTTTTCCCTTGTACTTCTCACTTGTGGAACTTTCTTCTGGTTTCTTGAATCTATGATATCCCACAATCTATGATATAGTGCACCCAAACTATTACATCTCAATTTTCATAAGATACAAACCTAATTATAATTGTAACCTAATTATGTACAATAATGGAACATATGCAATATAGGTGAACAATTTATCTAGAAAAATTGAAAATAAATACAATGTATCTAAAAATATAAATCAGAGACATGTCATAATAGATCAGTCCGTCTTAAATAAATCAATAATATTTTGCGGTAACTTGAGATTTGTGTTAAAAAGTTGCATAATTTTAAAACACATTCAGTCAAATTATGATATAAAAATAAAATATTGAATTTTATTTAATGTTTTTTCAAGACTTAGCATGAGCAAAACAAATTCATAAATAATGAAGAATAATGTCAAAATCTTCAAAAAATGTTCATCCTTTAATTTGTGCTTAGTTTAATTTCTAACATAGGTAGAAAAAAAACAAGTGTTGGTATGATAGGGTCACTAAGCTGATGACTTTAAGAGGACACTTACAGTAAAGACTAAAATGACTAAAGAGCCTGTTGCGAACTTCACCACATTAATTTAACTTTAGATTAGGAAACAAGGATCATGTAGAAAAGGATAACTAAAAGACATTGTTACACATAAAATTTATTTAACAAGATGTACAATATCAAACAATGATATGAAGGAAAGCATGCATTTAAGTAAGAAAAGGTTGAATTAACCAAGAGTTGTCTCTCTTTAAATGTTATTTTAGTGTTCCAAAGTTCACTGGAAGAATGTTCATGAGAGTCTCTTGTAATGATTGTTCTTGAAAGATATTACTGTGTAAGAAGAGTTTATGTGAGTGTGTACAAGGTATGTTCAGCATGTGAGTGGTGTGTGTGAGTGAGAAATTTGACGCATGGTTTCAACTGTCATGGATTCGTTTGGTAGTTGAATTTCTCACTAATGAGATGAAAAAGACCTTAGCTTAAATAAGCGACTGTAGGCTCCAAATCGCTGTATGGGAAGAATTATTCTTCATGTGCAAACGATCTGATCGGCTGGCATAGACCAATCAGCAAGCGAGCTTTGGAGATACTTAAGAAAGCTTCTGTGATCCGCTTCTCCCAAAAGTGTACAAAACTGACTACATAAAAATAGAGTGATTACAAAATTGTCGCATTGCTGCGATTTGTAAATTGCCTATAATAACATAGTGGTGATTAATTAACCAATGAATGCTTGGTGTTGTATGTGAATTGTATTTTTGTATGTATGTATGTTCGTGTGTAATAGATCCGCACAAGCCAATTGTTCACGTTCTAATCTACTGCCCCCTTTGCCCCCCAGCAACAGTCCTTTTTCAGCTACTGACTATAAATTCTTGCTTAAGGAATATAGATTTCACTTTACAGTAGTACAGGACACCCATCTTCAAAGAAGATTTTGTAAAATTTTTAAAAATAATTATTTGAACTGTTATTAAAAAAACCCACAACAATTCAATAAGATTTCAATGCTATCGCACCCGGCCGGAAGTTACTGCCGGCTACTCAAACATCTAAAAGCGTCACCGCGGAAAACATAACGAATGCCTTTAACTTCCGGTGACTCAGCGTTTTTCAGTCAACGACTCACACAAACTCAAAACAAACGAAACATTTACATACACAATTACCAGAAACTACTTTATATACACATGGTGTCTGAATGGAACACATGTGTACAGCCAAAAAGTAGAAGGTAATTTTCAGTCATCACCTCAAAGATATCACTAACAGGCTACATTGCCGACCTCAGCCTATATAAACACAGCCAATTTCTTCCACCAAATTATTCTCTCCCGGCGGATTTTCGTTGGGGTTTTTGACAAATATTGGATTGTTTCTTGGCCTCTGGCTGAGATTCGATCAAGGCTTCGACTAGCTTGGACTGGCTCCGGCCTGGACTTGCTAGGACAAGTCATGACCAGCTTTGACTAGGCTCTGACCAGCTTGGACAAGCTATGACCAGTTTTGGACCAGTGGCCCTTGAGTGGAAATGCTCGGGTCTCCCACGTTAAACGACCTTGTGTCATATCCTGACTCCGTGGGAGTCAAGTAAATACCATTCTCTCCCTGCGGATTTGGCCTTTTGACGTTACGACCTATGACCTTGTTGACAACTCATCATGGGCTAATGTCCGTAAATAAACTTTATTTTCGCTGTTTTAAACTAAGCAAAAAATAAGGATTACTTTTTTTTTTTTTTTAAATTCAGTTAGCTGATCCCTAAAATTACTGATTTAATTTGAAACAAACCTTCAGGACAAATATTAGATTTTTTTAAGTCTTAAGAGATTTTTAAAATTTGTTTTATTCATTTCACGTCTAATGGAGGTGATGAGTAACCGTACTAATAATCCTTTAAAAGTGTCTAAAAACTTTATTTACATAAATTATTTACGTAAATTTATTTATTTATTTTTTTTACACATTCTTTAAGCTATTATCTCTTACATAACCTCAAAGAAGATATTTTGCATTAAATTATTTAAAATGCGTTTTTCGTTTTTGTCTGTGGTGGTACCTAATTTTCTTTTGTAAAAAAACCTGTCAATTGTAATAAATAAAGTACTGTGTAATAATGTGTATCGACTCTGTAATGGATGTGTAACCAATTTGCTACCTTTATGCAAATTTACAAAGAAACTAAAAACATTATCCATTGCTTCAGTTCTGTAGTTCTCAGGACATTCAATATGCTGCATGCACTTAAGGAGTAAAAAAATGTTTATGTACTGAAAATAGTAGAATATGGTATGCAAAAGTTACCAACACTCTTTTTTTTTTTTTAACTTTTGCTTGCACACACCTCTTGATCAAGTTTGTAACCAACGAAAATCTATCTTTTTTTAGTTATTGTATGACGAGTGCTTTTTAAATTGCAAATTAATGCTGACATTGATTGTGATGGAATATCTCATCCCAGCCCTTGATTCTTTCACAATTAAAACTACAAACATTGTTGTTTGTTTAATTGAAGGATCGCTAAAATGCCAGTATCTCGAGTCGAGTCTTGAAATGATTCTTAGATTTGTTGAGAGAAGTCCGACAATCTAACCAGATGAACTCTAAACATCTCTGTTCCTAGATCGTTATAAAAAAGGAAACTGGAAATAAATATCTTTTCCTTCTTTATTTCTTAATTTGGGTAGAGAAAAAATTTGAATCGGAGAAAAAGAAAGAAAGAAAATGATAGGGTGATGAAAAAGGCTAATAAATTAATATCAGTTTTGCTTTTCATGTTAGGACATGTCACTGCAAATACAATCTTGGTTACTGGAGAGCAGTTTTGTTTATTATTAGTCGTCAACTGTACAACCCGGCAACACGAAGAGGGTTTTCACAACAATTTTACCATCACCATGTTTCACTCACTGTATCATTATTAGCATCTACAAGTTAACATTAACAATCACATAAAAAACAAGGTATACCAGAATAATGAACTTACGGGCAAGTCTGAAAATATTTCTCGTAGTTTTGGGTTTTCTTTCTTTCTTTTTTTACCCTTCCGAATCAAAATATGTTATCGGACATTTAATAACAAAAGAGGTGAGTAAATGTTTCCTCTTAAAATAATTCAATAACAACAACTTAGAAGTCCAATCTATGCTTGCTTTTGCAACTTTGTTCAATAAGAAAGGTAGTATATTTGGCAATTCATACAGAGATAAAGAAAGAGAGACGTTTAAAAAAAAGGTTAGTGACGTTTAATTACTAGTCACAATTAAATAAACGTCCAGTAGCTAAAATTCAAATTTACAAATTCTGCCTAAATTTCTGGAATGAAAATTTATCATTTTAGTAGTTATTTTTTTTTTTTTTACATTATTTACCTTTGGACGAATATCCTTATTTTTGTTGTTATTGTTATCACGTTTTGACCGTTGTATCCGGGTAAACATTAGTGAATTTCAAACTGAACTCTTTCTCTAAATCTACTGGGGTAAATGTTTTTTTGTTTTGCTGTTCATGTCAATTATCAAGGGATATCTCATGTTTTTCTTTTTAGTACTTAAGGAGATATAAAATTATATAAAAAGTAATTCAAGAATAGTAAATAGAAAATAATATAATAGACTAGGTTTGTTTATTACACTTTCTTTTGAGGTGTGTGTTTAAATATCATTTATTAAAATGTTTTAAAATAGAAAACAGCCAAAATGAAGCTAGCTTAGTAAAAAATGGCTTGAATAAAATTTGATGTGTACAGCTTTGTATATGTGAGGGTCAAGTCTGATGTAAAAAAAAAAATGGCAAAATGGTGCCTGGCAATTTATAAAACAAAAAGAAGATACATGAATAAAAATTGGTTTTCAAAAATTTGAGATTCTATTTTGATGATCTCGGGGCCTGCTAAAATAAATTTTGCAAGCAGGTGTGGTTTAAAAAGATACTTTTGGTGATTTTATAAACAATGGGGGATAGTTATGCCCCCAAAGAAAATGATTTTGATGATTCAATCTGGAGCCTATATTAGTCAAAGGATCAGAAGTGTCTAAACAAAGGTGCACTAAAGAGAAGGGTTTTGGCAAAAGAGTATTTGAAGGATTTCAGGTGAAAGTCATTGGCATTTTCTGGGAGTTGAACAAAGTTGAAGTAAAGAGAAGAGAAAGGCTTTGACTTCCACAGGCTGTGCTTCTTCGATCTGAACAGAGACTGAAAATGAGGCAGAAGAAGAAAGAAACAGAAGAAGCAGAAAGGCAAAGATTCTACAAATTTAGAGAGGTATATCATTATCTTTTTATAATTATTTGTGAAAGTTTTTCGCAAAAATTAGAGGTATTAACCCTGATTTTGAACCTTTTATGAAAATATGAGATTTATCTCATTTTTGAATCTCAGTTTGTAAAACTGTACTATTGTCTAAACAGTAAACAAACCAGAAACCCACTGAGAAGTCTTCCTACTTAACTCTTTTTGACAATTGAATGAATAATTTGTTAATAATAATAATTATTTTTCTGAGACCAAGAGAATTGCATTTAGAGTTGTTATCTTGCCAAAGTGTTTGGCACACAAAGGAAAATTTTGTGCAAGCTTGTTTTATAAATTTTGTATTCTGTACTATTATTTTTTTATGTCATTTAATAAATGTACATTTCTTTCAAATTTCACACCAGAGTAAGAGTCTTGTGCTTTTTTCATTTGTGCCATTCAAAATACTTGGGATAAGAGATTTGATGTTCTCTCTTCTCCTTTTCTCATAATAAATCCTTTTATTACTTCTCACTTATTGCTTGTCTTGTTCCTACTCGGTACAGCCTTAGACTGAGTGGAAACAGACTGAGCAATAACTAAGAAGTACTAAATAAGTACTGCTCAATAAGAACAATCTACTCCTGTGGATTAAATAAAGGGTTCAGTTTGAAATTCCCTGAAGGTTACCTGGATTAAAAAGCACTTGAAGAAAGCTGGAGGCCAAAACATTGTGATAACAACAACAAAGATGAGAATATTAGTTCAAAACTGTATTTTATTTACTTTTTATGTAAAAGTTCATGTATGTTGACTTGTGTAGATGTATCTTTTCTTATAAACAGTCTTATTTTTGTAAAATGTTTGTAGAAATGGACATGTGTCTCATCTAGAGAAAGTTGATACATTTATAAAAGGAAATATGAGCATATTGACTGAGAGAAGCTAGAACATATTTTCAGTTATTAGTGACCCTTCTTGATCCCAAGGTGCTTCATTTATCTATTTCAGGGAAAGTAAGTAACTTGGTGTAGATTTGTGTAGATGGGTTGATATTTTTGTATTTGTTGACTATGTCCTGTTGCAATTTCTCATATTTATTAGGAAATACAAACTGAAAGGTTTCTGGCATTGCTCTAACCAACAGTGATTGGTTGAAAATTTTCTTTTTGTCCCTTCTGATCAGTTTTCTACTTACAAACACAAATTTCTAATGTTATTTAGATGTTATCTTGGTGGTTCATTTTTGAAGGTTACTGTTTTGATAAATACATACATGTCTGTGTTTGTGTGTGTGTGCAGTGATTTTCTTTTTTTGTGCCTATTTGACATACCTCTGAAACCTTTACATACTAATTATTTTAACTACTTCCTCCCCAATTATTTTTTTAAAAATGTTTTATTTTCAGATGAATTTTTTTTATTTGTTTTTAATATAGTAACTAAGAAACTGAGACACACCTTGAGCAGTGGCTAACACCTCTACTAGACGTATGCATTGATATTTGGACTCATTTCAAGCTCAGAATTGCATAAAAAATCAAGATCAATGTATAAGCACATCTGTTGCTGGTTTTTGAACATTCAGTTTTGGGCATGTTTATTTGCCAGTGTCTGAAAAAGACACTTTTGGTAAAAACATATATACATGTCTACGCTGGGGAAGGGGTTAATAATTACATTTTGAATATTACTACAATAGTCTCCTTTCAAATTTCAGAACACTTCTGTATAATTTATCATAGTGAAAAAAAGATATATTTTTTCCAAGTTATTTGTATTGCCAAAGATGATTTCTCTGGATTATTTGAAACTTTGTGATCATTTATATAAGAATTACTAAAACCAGTAATATTCAACTTATTTAATTTGGAATAGTATGTTTTTGAACAAATGCTTATTTGTACATCAACTATCATTCTTTGAAATATTTCTGCCAATCTTTTGTTATTACAATTATCAAAAATACTATTATTTATGAATGTTTCAACATAAGATTCCATTCTGTCCACAGATACTTGATGAGTATATATTATCATTCATCTCAATGAAGAAATGTTTTGGTAGACACTGAAGAACTTTGTAGAGCCCATTATAAGGTGCTTTTAAAGATTTCCTAATACAACCCACACTTCATGCTTTATCACAAGGCATAAGTTCATTTCGTATATAAGGTTTATTCAAAGTATGAAAATTTCCTTTAGAAAAGTAATTTAGATCAAACTGGAACATGGTTCTACACAAATGTTTAATAAGCTTAACTATTTACTGTATTCTCTTTCATTGTATCAGATGAACTGATCAATAGTTAGATGATTAATATTGAGGAACTACTTCCAGCACAAAAAGTAAGAATTCTAATTCATTAGATGTACTGCATTTAACAAGGATTGATAATGCCATGATTCATTACAAGCTATAATGGGTGTTTTAATCATTCTGTTTGCTTTCTTTATGAAACCATTCGACTGCTTTCAGTCTATGAAAACCAAACAGTCATGATATTTCTAAAGATAACTCATTTTCAAATTGACTTTCCCTGTCATGATATGTAGTGGGGTTCCAAATCTTGTAATTCATATATTTAAAAAGGTTTCAGCTACTGATTGTGCAGTAATTCCCATATGTCCTTCAATTCAACAAAGATGAACAGTTGATATACATTAAAAGGGTTTAAATAGGGATCTGAATTATTACAAACTGAAGGGTCTGGTAAAAAAAAATATTTATATGAACAATGTTAGAAATGTTAGAATTCAAAACTTTCAATGGGAGATCTTGTATTAAATTTTGACTGTTGATAAGATAGACACTGTAGACAAAACTAATTTATAGATTTATTCATACTTGGCTAATAATATCTGGATATTGAAGTTTATTCAAATGCATCCTAATCAGGAATTATAGAATATGATCTACTTCATATGTGAACTACAAATAATGGTCATATTACAATTATGTATAAAATTACAGGTACAGAAATTTAATTATCTGGGTATTATAGTAGTAATAGATGATGGAAAATGTAACATAAATACAAATGTGTGTAGGAATAGTGAAACATGCCCTCTAAAAACTAATCAAAGAAATTAAGAGAGAGAAAATATCCTTAGATACAAAGAAAAGTGTTATATTGCTATATATATATATAGTCTACTCTTCTGTATGAGAGTGAATGTTGGATGATCTCACAGGTGAAGAAGAGATTTGAAGTGACAGAGATGTGATTTTACTGGTGAATGCTGAGAATACACCATATGTCTCTGCATGTAAACAAGAATATTTTAAGGAGGATAGGAACTAAGAGGAAACTGCTGCTAACAGTCAGAAAAAGACAGCTGAAGTTTTTGGACATATAATGAAAAAGGGCTCAGAGCCCACAAGATATCTCTCCTCCAGGCCACTCGCCCTGCTGCTGACAGACAACTGTGTCTCCCTATGATGACTAATAGCACAAGTGAAAGAAAAAATTAAAAAACTAAACTAATGAAAAAAGGAGACTTGAAAAATTTAACACTCACTGCATATATTGAAGGCAAGAGAAGCTAGTGGAAACAGTAGCCTACTTGACAAGTTTGATTGAATGGATGACAGAAGAACAGAGGTGTGAGTAAAACAGTAAGAGTTACTTAGAGCAAGAAAATATAAGAAGTTATGGAAGCAATGATTGCCTATGTGTTGAATAGAAAATGAAAGAAGAAATCTGCTACTCATTCTCTAGCAAGTTAAAGTGACACTTTTGAACTTCATCAGTGTGCACTTTTAGTGTCTAGAAATTTAACCTTTTTTAAAAACTCTTTCTCCTTGATAAGTTATATATTTATAAGAAAAAGAAAGGAGTTACTCTCTGTGAT